CCTAGAGGCTAAGGGCCCCCGGGGGCCAGCCCGCAGCTGGGCTGGTGCAGGCTGGGGGCCAGACGGAGGGCATCCGATTCCCAGTCCCGTCCCTTTCCCACTGAGCTGCTCCGCCTCGCTTTCCACTTAATTAGGAGAACATTTAATCCCCCCGTGCATTTCAGAGACGATCTGCGCCTGGCCGGGCCGTGAGGTTCCGACGGGGAGCCTGTGACTCATGCAGCTTCGCACGGCCCTCCCTGTCGGGCTCCCACGGGGCTTCCCTGGCACCTCGTGTGGACAGAGGTGGTGTGGAGCTCCAGAGAGGACAGGACGCTGGTCTGGAAAGATAAACTAGCTTCATCTGTTCCTGGCAAGTCCCCCCTTCATCCCTCTGGACACTGACCCCAGAAATGCCGCTTCGTCCTTTCCCACCAAGGTTTGCACGGCAAGAAACAGAGCGAGGGGCTTGGGTGTTCACAGAAATGCAGTGCCCAGCGTCTCCAGGCCCGTGGGAGTGGGCCACAGGGAGCCTTGGGTGTTTCTGAAACGTCCCAGGCAAAGCTGGTCCCATCCACAGAGCTAGTCCCCTGGTCCACAGAGCTGAGCGCAGGGCCAAGCCTTATGACATTTGCCCCTGTTTCCAGAAGGCATGGGGCTGCCCTGGCCTCACTGACAAACGCAGATTTCAGGAGACATTAGTAGTGATGTGGATGAAAGCCAGGCCACAGCGGCCTCACTGGAAAAGAGAAACTTGAACGTTTTGGCGTGAGATTCTGCAGGGTCCAGGAGAAAGTTGAAGACATGGAAATTCTAATTAACACACACAGGGCTGGTTTTGCTCAAGGATCTCCAAGCTGTCATGTCGCAGGAGGCCTGCAAGTACATGTTCGCCGGGGGTGAGGTGGGGTGCTCTCAGTCACCTGGTGGGGGTCCTGCAGTGCCCCTGGCCCTCCTTCTGTCCCCCTGCAAAGCACAGCAGAGGGGTGCTTGGTGACAAAGAGCTGAGCCGCGCCCATCTAAGACGCCATGACAAAAGAGATGGCAGGGGCCAGGGACCGACTCTCTGGGAGGACCCCTCAGGGCAGCCACAGTCTGCTGTGCTCACAGGGCGTCCGGCCTCCTGCACCATCTGTCTTGGGGCAGACGTGGATGCCAGGCCAGTTCTGGCTGAGTCTAGGGGGCACTTCACAGAAATGGCCGGTCTCCCAAGGCTGCTGGGAGAAGGGTACCCAGGCCACAGCCGCTCAGAGCCTGGAGCCCAGAGCCACAGAGCCTCACACTGAGGCCAGTTCTGACCCAGCCATCCGGCCCTGCTGGCCAGCACCGGAGCTCAGACACCTCAGCCCTCACTCCATCCCCTCCTTGGGCAGGGCTGGCCGGGCTCTGGCTGGGGGATCTTGTCTGGTTGGGGGCATGAGCAGCAGTCCTGGAGCTCCTTCCAGCCTGGGGCTTGAGGGGAACCACACTCTCCCTGATCCCTAGGAGCCGAGGGTCCCGAGAGACAGGTACTCTCAAAGAGCCCCACATAGAGGGCCTCGAGAGCTGGGGGAGGATGCGGCTGCCTGGCCTGTGGGCATCCTGGGCCTCCGTGAGGGGAGGAGGACTGACAAGATGTTGGAAAGATGAGTAGGACTCTGATGGCTGCAGACAAGTGACAAGGGTGTTTCAGGCAGAGATGCCGTGTGCAGGACACAGGGATGCACACGGGTGGCCCTCCCCTTCCACTGTCCTGCCGGCGATCCCCAGTGGGCAGGAGCCTAGGAACTCGTTCCAGCTCCTGTTGGGGAGCAGGGCTCCCCTGGCGCCCCACATTGTGCCCCAGATGCCTCATCTCTGCCTCACACTTGCTCCTTGGAAGCCCTAGTGGCAAGGCTCTGGGTGGGGCCACAAGTGCAGGGAGCTTGAAGCAGATGAGCTCCCTTCTGGCCCTGCTGCGCCCACAAGACTATCTGCCTGAAAGGTGTGTGTGAGACGGGGGCCTGGCCCCCCGGCGCCGTGTGAGGGCCCTGGGGCTTGCCGACAGGGCGGGCTGACCAAAACCACTGTTTCCCCAGCCCGCTGCAGCACCCTCTGCCCCTGCTCGCCGGCAGCTCCCTGGTTTGCACCAGGCTTGCTTGCTGACCCCCGGTCCCCTGACCCCTCACTTCACCAATGGCCAACAGGCCCCGGAAAGACGAGCTTCGCCCAGCCCCGGGGACCTTCCCGTAATCAAGGCTGCAGTGACCTCACCTCCCTGGGGCCCTGCGGGTGGGGAGAGCTTGAGATGGAAACAAAATGTGTCTTTATTTATGCTTTTAATTTGAATTCTGGAACCGGCCCAACATGGTAATACATTTAACATCAGTAAAATGCTGGAGAGAAATGGATCTGGTTTTCAGTAACTGCCTCCCATCCCCAATGCCCCCGTGAGACCCCTGTCCCTGCACACACACCGGGGTGTGCACCTCTCTTCCCCACATGGGGTCCCCAAGGCTGAGCTGCCACAGGGCTGAGTTTAATTAGGGCCATCACTCACCAGGCAGGCTGGGGGTGGGGGGGCAGAGGAACGTGGCCCCAGCGTGAGCACCGAGACCAGGCAGCCTCCTCCCCATCCACGCTGCAGGCAGGCACAGCCCTGAGTAAACACGGTGCCCACTGTTGCCCCTTCCTCCTCCAGCCATGGTGGGGCGAGGCCTCTGCCCAGCCTAGAGCCCTGAGGGTGCCTAGGATCTGAGGCCCTACCACCTCCTTCACTGTGCCTGCACCCCACCTTCCCCACTGGGGCTCCCTTGAGAAGCATCCTGACTACTGAGGACACAGGCATATGGAACCCCTGCTGTCCCCGCCACACCAGACCACCACAACCTCAGTCATCTTGCTCCCAGCCTTTACCGCCAAGCTCCCGCCTCGCCCACGGCTGGGCTCGTCCCCGCCTTCCCAGCTGGCTGGCATCCAGGGTCTACACTGGGAAAGGTAAGGGCAGCCGCAGCCTGGCCGAGGCCCCACCCAGTGCTGGAGGTGACGCCCTTCCACAGGCAACAGGCCGCCCCGTGGTGGGGGTGCTGGCCCGAGAAGGCCCACAGCAGGCTTGTCTGGACGGTGATGCACGAGGCCCACTGCCTGAAGAGCGTTTGGGATGTTCAGCCTGATGGCCTGTCTCAGAGGAGGGAAGACAAGAAATGGCCAAGATTCTCTGATGACGCGGCTACATTCACCTAAGCTACCTCCTGCGGCTCCCTGGCAGGTGGGCAGCCTCTGGCCCCAGGAAACTTGGTACAAGCTGATGCCGACCTGGACAGACCTCGCTGAATTCAAAAGGGTCGACTGTGCTGGGCAGCTGTGGGCCTGGTCTTGGGCCACCTCGGTCCCCAGTCTTACGCTGCCTCGTCCTGGGCCTCCCCACAGTGGCCTTGCTGGGCCCAGGGAGCTGGTGACAGCTGACTGCCCAGCTGGATGGATGGTGGGTGACAGCCCTGCCCACCAGGGTGCGACTCCTTGTCTGTGCACCGGAGGGGCTGGGCCACCACTGACAGAGAGGAGGAGTAGGAGCTCTGGCAGGGAGAGCGCGGCCAGGAGGACAGGACGGGGCGGGACGGGGCGGGCCGGGCCGCACGGCGAGGCCTGGTGGGGCCTGCCCGGCAGGAGGGCCACAGCTCCCGGCAGGCTTCTGGCTGTCCTTGCTCTGAACAGGCACTGTCACCGGTGCACAACACTGGCCACAAGACTGCAACTTTTACCACTTTAAGGTCCCTTGTGTCCTGGACTCTGTTTAGGCCTCAGCCAAAGCGGTAAGCATTCTGCCTTCAGACACTAACCTGTACCTGCCCAGCCCACCTGGCTCGCACCACTGCTCACACCGCTGCCCGTTTATCAAGTGAGCCTATCGGGCCATCTCCAGGAGGGCCCAGAGGTCAGAGCCCTGTCCCTGGGGGAGGCCTGGAAGCTCACTGCAGTGCAAGTCCACAAAGACGAGTAAGCACTGCTTCCCCGGGCCAGGCTGGCTCCCGCCGAGCCCGAGAACGCCCTCACGCACACCCTGCCAGCTATTGGGCTGCCAGCCTCCCGTGAGCCCGACGGGTCTGGAAAGGTGGCAGGTGGCTCCTGCCTGATCGCAGGGCCACCCTGAGACAGCCCTGTCTTCCTCTCATTCTGGTCACCCGACTCTGCCAGCCCTCTGGTTACAGAGCGCAGGAGCCCTGCAATTCGGGTCCCGACTTCAGTCATCTACAAGGCAAAGGCCACACCCGGCGGCAGCAGAGGCAGCAGGCCTTCGAGAGAGACGCACATGGGTCAGGACAACCAAAACCCCGTGAGCGAAACCGTAGAGAGCGGGAGAGAACGCGAGTGCCGCTCACACACCGGACACAAGAGGACTCCCCTAGGGCAGTCCCCAGCGGGGCGGGGGCCAGAATGGGCCTGCGTGTCCCGCTGACCCCCCCCCGCGGGCTGTCACCACTGGGTGCCCGCACTGGGAGCACTGAGCCACGTCGCAGGGGAATTCACACCGCGGCCGGGCCCCGGGGACTCGGCCTGGCGATACTGTGACGGCGGGGGAGGCAGGCATGCGTCCCAGGCCAGCTGTGCCTCGGGGGCAGGCCAACTGGGAGGCGTGGAAAATCAGCCATTTCCTCCACCTGAAGGAGCCCCTGAGGACAGCAGCCGCGACTGGCAGACGCGCTCAGCATCTGCCCCATGGCTTTGGCCAGGGTTCCACCAAGAAGTGCTGAAAAACAAAGTCGCCTCTTTTGGGGGGGGCAGGGGAGGGGGCTTGGGGAGAGAAAAACAATCTTCTCAGACGCTCAGAGCACGAAAACAAGTGGAAAATGGCCGGTCTGGTTTTCCATAAGTCAAAACAAGAAGACAGTGTTCCCAGATGCGGCGGGAAGGGCCCGTGCTCTCCGCCCCGCTCGGTGCCCGGGCACCGCGGCCATGGCCCCGGGATGCTGAGGGCAGGCGGCGAGTGCTGGGCACTGGGGGAGGCGGCCCCTTTGAGCCCCACACCCCGCCACCTCGTCATCCTCCGGCGAGCAGGCACTCACTGTGACACGTGGGTGATGGGGGCCAGGAGTGTCTCCCCTTCCAGGTCCAGGTCCTCGGCAAAGCTGTTGGTTCTCATGAAATGGGCCGTGTTCACTTCCAGCAGCGTGGGGCTCCTTTTCACTGTGGGCAGAGGTGTGGGCGGCACGTTAGGCCTCCATCAGAGACTTGATGGCAAAAGGAACCCAGGTTGATCAAAGTGAGCTTAGGTGCTCACCCCAACCTGCCACCCTGGCTGGGGGCAGACCTGTGCCTCCCGAGCCTTCCCGCAAACAGGCAGGATACCCACTCGCATGGCTGGGTGAGGGGCGGACGTGGTGTACGGAGCCTCGGCACGGGGGGTTTGCAAGGCGGCGGGCTGAGATGGCCCCCACCCACCTGAGGCCTCAATGGTCAAGGAGCACCTGAGAGCCAGGGACACCTCCTCCGAGTGAGGACTGTGCCTGGGCCGGGCTCAGGCGTCCAGCCGTGTCCCCAGATTCACACCCGACTTTCAGGTAAAGAATAAAATACATGAGCACAGGTCTGGGAAGGAACACTGACCCCCCCCCCCCCAAGGCTGGCACTGTCACATGGACAGCAGGCTTGTGACGCATCAGTGAAGACCCAGGGTGGCAGGACTCCTGCTCAGGGAGAGTCGCAAGTCTGGGAGGGAGGGGCAGCCACCCCCGCCCTGGGGGACAGGCATGAGCACCCCCGCAGCTGGTTAACATTCAGATTCCTGGGCCCCGCTCAGTGACCTGCCGCTGGTGCTCAGGGCTGACTCAGAATCCCTGTCAGTCCCGCTTCTCAGCCTGAACCCCTTTTCTTTTCATTTAAAGCTTTTATCGTAAAATATCCAAGTACTTGTTGTAAAAAGTGAACAACACAAAGATTCACCAAGGTCCTCCCGCCTCGACGGGATGTTAACCACCAGGGGATTACTTGCTCACGCACTAGAGCAGCTGACTCCAGGTGGGACTCGCATTTGTACACACATGACAGCTCTGTTCCTGTCACTCCGCAGTGTGTCCATCTCATTTTCCTACAGGTGTACAGATGTGGAGCTATGTCTTTTTAGTAGTTGTGTAAGAGTCTACACTTTAGATCCGCCACAGTTCACTCAACCATCCCGTGTGTGATGGACATTCAGGTTCCATTAGCTTGAAGCCACTACATTAAGACAGTGACACACCATCCATCTTTGTGAAAATCTGACATAATGAGGCAGGTGGGAGGGTGCTTCCCTGGCAATTTTAATAGATGTGGCTGGATTGTTTTTACAAAAGCTTGTATCAGTTAGACTCCACCAGTAGCGTGTGAACATGCCAGCTTCCCCACCTTTGGCCGCCTTTGCAGGGCTTGTCAAACGGGGATGAAGACTGGCATTCTGATTTTCCTTCTGTGCTGAACACCTTTTGTGGCTCAAAGGCTATTTGGTTTTCCTTTTGTGGAATTCTCTGTTCATATCCTTTGCTCATTTTTGCTCATCGATTTGTAAGAACTTATTTTTTACATGTTAGAGATAACTAACCCTTTGTCATATAGGGCACAGGTGTCTCCCCTAGTCTATCTTTGGTGTTTTTACCTTAATCATGGCTGTTTTATCATAGAAATGTTTTATGTTGTTGACGTGATACACCTATCTTTTGCTTTTTGTAAAAGGAAGGTTTCGCCACCTCAAAGTAGTATAATTGTCTCCTAAATTTATCTGTAATATAAATGTATGAGTATGTATACATGTGTGTGTGTACAGTGTAGCACATCTGGCACTTATGCTTCATGTTGCAGGAGATCAACAATCAGAAGATGAAAATGTAAAAGGTATTATATGCAGTCTTACTGAAAAACTAAAGTAAAACACAACCTATAAAATTTCTTCAAGAAAACAACAGGGGAAAAATCTCTGGACCTTGGATTTGGCAATGAGTGTTGGAGTATGATACCAAATGCTCAGTCTGTAAGGGGAGAAAATTAAAAACTAAAAGCATTTGCTTTGCAAAAGATACTGCTAAAGGAACGGAAGGAGAAAATGTTTACATGTCACCTCTCTGGTCAAGGACTTACATCCAGAATTTATAAAGAATTCTTGCAACTTGACAAGAAAGCTAACAACTCGGTTTAAAACATGGATTATGAGTAAACTCAAGAAAAGATGCTCAATTTAGTCAATATCAGTAGTTAGAGAAATGCAAATCAAACCTGCACTGAGCTGCTGTTACACTCTTATTAGAATGACTGATTAAATTTAAAATCATGTCAGTTTTAGATATTTGGAAAAAAATTAAGTTAGAGCCTTACTTTCCACCTTACATTAAGAAAAGAAAGAAGAAGAAGAAAAAAAAAAACGAAGCCTGACAACACATGCACGTGAAGATTCAGAGAAACTGAACGTCTTAACATGTTGCTGGTGGGGACGCAAAATGATGCAGCCATGTTGGAAAAGGGTCTGGCTGTTTCTTACCAAGTTAAACATACATTTATCACGTGACCTGTCAGTCCCTGTCCCAGTTATTTACCCAAGTGAACTGAAAATGTACATTCACAAAAACCTGTACCTAAATGTGTATAACAGTTTCACTCAAAATTGCCAAAACCTGAAGCAATCAAGATGTACTTAGGTGAGTAGGTGAATGGACAAACAGACTGCGGTACATCCATACAATGGAATACCACCCAGCAATCAAAAGAAACAAACTAATGATTTATGCAACAACATGGATGAATCACATCTATGCAATTTTTGCTAAGCAGCTGAAGAATCCAGATGCAGAAGTTTACCTATTGTAAAAGTCCATTTATATGACATCCTGGAAAAGGCAACACTCCAGGGACATAAAACAGATCAATGGCCTCCAGTGTTCAGGGGAGGGGGAGGACTGAACTTCAAAAGAATTGCACAATGGAATTTTTAGGGCTCTGAACTTCTCTGTATGATGTTGTGGTGGTGGAGACATGCCTCCAGGCATTTGTCAAAACCCATAGAACTGTACATCTCCATGAGTAAATTTTACTAGATGCAAACCAAAACCAAACAACAAAACCACTGTTGGAGGATCCAGGATGGAAAGCAGACTGTGACGAGTGAATTCTGTAGTACGGATGTATAACATAGCCCCGAAAGGAGAGGGCAAGAAGGAACTGGCTGAGGAAGCCTTGGGAAACAATCTTTTGACTGCACGAGTTAAAGTGAAAAAAAAAACTACCATAAACACAGCGTTCTAGTTGGTCAGTTTTTTTCTCATAGTGGTACTGTTGGTATACCTGAGCTCAATAAATTATAGACAGTGGGGACCAGGTTTCTCAGTGGTAGAGACAAAAGTACCAAGTAAACAGGATTAGGAGTCATGAACACACCCTGTGGTCAGAAGTAGCAGTATGAACTCATCTTTAGCTTGATATACACACAAATAAGTAACAGATATGTGTGTATCCTTGGACTATTTACATACGTATGTTTCCTAGCTCTGTCCACTGAGAGGCCCTAGAAGCAGTGACAAGCCTGGAGCAGTGAGCACACCTGTTGCCCAGATCTTGGTTTCTAAATGCCATCCACTCTCCAGTAAAAGGAACCCGGGGCTCTCTGGTGGAATGCTGATTCTAGGGCCAGAGCACGGAGAATTCAAAATGAGCCTGAAGCACTCACTGCCCAGTGCTGGAAAGGAAGGGGACGCTCAAAAATAAATAAACGAAGAGGATGAGGGCACGTCAAACAGATACAGGAACCAGCCCCAAAGCACTCTCAATCCAGTGGCCAAAGCTAGAACAACTTGAGCAACAAAATAAATACTAATAGTATTGGATTATACAGCTCAAAAATTTCCTGAGTCCACACTGATTTAAATTAGCAGATTAATAATTGGAGGGGAGGAACAAAATGCCAAGGAATAAACAGAAGGAATGAGGAAAATAGGAAAACCACCATTAGAGAGAGCCCCACAGTGACACTTGCTGCAGGCGAGATCCGTGGACGAGTGCTAAAGTTAGTAGGTGAAGCTTTAAGGAGAAACTTCAAAGCATCTCCCCTCAAATATTTATCCGTTGCTGCGGTGGTTTTAACATATGTTCGCCAATTCTTTGACAGCCTCCCCTGCAGGAGGCAGAGCGTGACTCCCCTCTTCCTGGAGTGTGGGCTGGGCTCAGTGACTCTCCCCATGACCAGGAGGGGAAAAGTGCTAGCCTGACAGAGTCCGGCTGACACGGCCTTAACCAAGTGGGTCAAAGGTAACGTCAGCAGTGACAAAACACGTTGTATCCTGCACCCTGATGTGAACCAATGAGGAAACAACCTCACTTCTGTGACATTCTTCCCCCAAACCCACAGCCCCCGTCTAATCCTGAGAAAGTAGCAGCAAGCCCAAACTGAGGGACAGGGACCCCTGACGAGTGTCCCTCAGAAGCGTCAAGGTGATGAGCAGCAAGGAAGGACTAAGGCGCCGCCTTAGCTCAGAGGAGACCAAGGAGACCTGCTGACTGAATGCCACGGCGGCGGCTGGAACAGAGTAAAGGCATTGGTAGTGAAACTGGGGAGACCCAGATGGGTTAACTAAACTGCAGCTTAACTAACAGTGTTGCTGCAATGTTAGCTTCTTAGTTTTGATAACTGTTCCGTGGTCACATAAAACGCCAGTGTTCGGGAAGTGGGTGAGAGGTGCACGGGGACTCCATTTTTGCCTCATCTATATGTCAAAAAGTTATTTTTTAAAAATCCTGTTATACCAATAGTAAAAAAAATTCTTTACTATCTAATTAAGGATATACAAGAACTCTAAGGAGAAATTATAAAATCTCAACGAGATACATTCCAGAGGACATAAATAAATGAAGAAATATGCTTTTGTTCCATCGATTAGAACACCCTAGAAGACTCAGTAGTGAAAAGATTCTCCCCAAATCTTAATAAAAATCCCAAGGTCTGTGAGTTGGAACCTTGACAAGCTGATTCTAAAACTGATCTGGAAGTGCACAACGCCAAGAATCAACAAAATTCTTGAAGAACAAGGTAGAAGAACTTGCTCTACCAGATGTCGGTACTTCTTACCAAGTCATGGTCGTAAGATGGTGTAGTGCTGATGTGGAGAGAGAGAAGGCCCAAGGGCACAGGGCTGGATGTCCAGAAACAGCACCCCCATGGGTGCTGCCTG